TTCCATAAGGAGATTCATATCCTTTATGTCTGTGAAATTTTTCCATTTTATTTGATAATTTTGTCTATTTCTTTAGTTTTTAATGTCAGATTACTAATAGACTATTGTACTATTTGAATTAATCCTTCAATTAAAAGATCTTCTCTCGGGGCGCCTGTGTAGCTCAATTGGTTAAGCGTCCGACTTCGGCTCAGGTCATGATCTTGTTGTCCATGGGTTTGACCCCCACATCAGGCTCTGTGCTGACAGCTCAGAGCCTAAAACCTGCTTCAGATTCTGTGTTTCCCTCTCTCTGTCCCTCCCCCACTCACACACTGTCTCTCCCTGTCTCTCAAAAATGAATATTAAAAACTAAAAAAACTTTAATTCTAAAAAAAATCTGTTCTCTCCATTGTGAAATTTTGTGGTGGTGATGTTATTTAAGTTTCTAGGAAATTTCAATTTCAACTTCCAATGTTTGACTTAAAATTTTTAGGGTTCCTGTGTGTCTCCCTCCCTCTCTGTACCTCCCCAACTCATAATGTCTCTCAAAAATGAATATTAAAAACTAAAAAAAAAAAAAAAAAAAAAAGGAATGAACACTTGTAATTTGATCACCTAATAGAGAGAAACCTGCCCCAACTGGGCTCTGTCTGCTCATGAATCACGTAGGCTATAGAAACCCGAGCTCCAATCATGGCAGTGTGTGACTTGAACAAAGTTAACATCTCAGTCTATTTCCTCATTAAGTGGATTTTATACTCAATGAAGTTTTTCTGCCAGTTAAATGAGATTAAGTATATCAAGTGACCCAGAACCTAGCAGGTGCTCAAGACATCATTTTTAATGTAGTTATCAGGAGATCTCACCTACAACCCCCTTCTCCATCCCAGGAAGCAAATCCTGTCACAGGCTTTCTCCACTATATGAAAGTTCACTTGAGGCCATACTGCCTTTACAAAAGACCTACTCTGATAGCTGTTTTCACTAACTGAAAGAAATCTGGAAAAGAATTTTCATTTTGATGAAATAGTAATTGCTTCCTCACCTTACACCATTTCAATTTAAGAAAGGTGACACAGAATACTTTTGCATAGCCAGGAAACCTATACTTGATCCTTTCACTATTACTGCTGCCACAACTAGATTATGTAAAGTGGATGCTGCATCTCTCTTTTCTAATCCAAAGTTTTAAACATAAAGGGCTTGCATAAAATTTAAAGTACAGAAAATAATGCTTCAATTAAGCACTAACTTAGTTCACCTATTAGGAGTCTCATTCACACAAAAATCATGCTCAGATGCTAAACAGGTTTTCTCTTGCAGGACAACTCTGATTCTACATGATTCCTAAAATGCAATGCCATGAAAGAATGTGATGTTGTGCCTAGACACAGCAACAGAGAAGTTGCTGAAGTCAGTTAGCAATATGCACCACGGGCACCCGAAGAGGGAAGAAGAGCTAGGGTAGGAATGCATGAAAGCCTGCAGTGGAGAGTAACATGCGGGATTTTTGTGGGTGCATTTTTCTTACCCAAAATGTTAACTATTTTTAGATGTAATTAGTAAGTTAACACTAACTGTGTATATGTGCCAGTCACTGTTCTAAGGACTTAAAATTACCTCTTTTAATCCTCAGAAGGGCCTTACAAAGGAAGCTAATATTAACATCTTCCTTTTATAGCTAGTAAGTCATGGAGTCAGAATTTGAACCTGGGACTTCTGGCTTCACAATCATCTTTTAACCCATATGCTACACTGTCTCTCAGATGAAACTAACGCAACCTCTCAGGTTGGAGGACATTTCCAGAATTCCAGAAAAGGCAGCTTTCAGATAGACTGGATTAGAACATTATCTCCAGATATTACCTAAAAACATAGAATTTATAGTCAGATCTCTGCGCTCAGCATCTTTCTGCCAATCAGTTGTGAATTCTACCTCGGCGTGTCTTCCATCAGTGACAACATCAATCCGCAGTGTAGTAATTTCAAAGTTTTCTTCATGAAGCTGTAATGAAATGGTTTTTTAAAATTAGTTTTTATAACACTGGATGCCTGAAAAAAATGAGTCCTGACACATATATCTTTTCATAGTCAACTACTGCACAAATATCTTGAAACAGAAAGACAACCACAATATTCCAAATCAGATCCAAAGAATATTTTAAAAAAATAAATGCATCTTAATTTAAAAAGAGGAGTTTGAGGCGCCTGGGTGGCTGAGTCAGGTAAGTGTCCAACTCTTGATATCAGCTCACGTCATGATCTCACGGTTTATGAGATGGAACCCCACAATGGGCTCTGCGCTGACAGCACACACACAGCCTGCTTGAGATTCTCTGTCTCCGCCATCCCCCCTTCTCAAAAATAAGTAAATAAACTTAAAAAAAAAAAAAGGGAGCCCAATGTTAAAAAAAAATGACAACTCTAACAAATGTTGTGGCAGAGAAGTGAGGAGGCCTGTAATACAATACATTCTAGTTCTTCGATTTCAAATCAAGCTACTCTGAAATATTTTTTAATAACTCTGGTTTACAAAGAGCTGATTATTAATTTACAGCATATATGCCATTGAGCAAAGGACTGATAGGGGAAAAAATACAAACCCTTAACACATCCTGCAACTCTGACACACTGACATGTGAGCTGAGCCTAAGTAGGGTCTGTACATGCACATGTGGGGATAACATTTCAAATGAAGAGAAAAGATGGCCAAAGTCACAGCGGAGAGAAAGGGATATTCTATGCACAAAGAAGTATAGCTGACAAACAGTATGCTAGCACTGAGGGGTAGACAACAAAGGGTTTTACATGCCTTGCAGGAATTTGGAATCACTTCATTAAGAACTAAAAACTACTAGTGATTATTGGAAGTCTGTTCTGAAATTCCTCTCAATGTCATTTCTTTTCTAGAAACAAGTTAGTTCTAGAACTCAAGAATTTAAAGCACAAGTTTTCTCTAAAGACAAGTATAAGTAAAGGGTTTGAAATATGAAGACAAGAGGTGCCTGAGTGGCTCAGTCGGTTAAGTGACTTTGGCTCAGGTCATAATCTTGCAGTTCATGGGTTCAAGCCCTGCATTGGGATCTGTGCTAATAGCTCAACGCCTGGAGCCTGCTTCACATTCTGTCTACCTCTCTCCCTGCCCTGCTCATGCTCTCTCTCAAATATAAACATTAAAAATTTTTTTAAAGAAATATGAAGACTGTGAAAATCAATGTAAGAAACAGATCCCTGGAATGCCTGCCTTACCCAAAGAACTAGAGATTAGCTCATTAGAAAGGCTGACCTAAAAATAGTTACATCTTGGGACACCAGGTATAGAAAAACAGTGGGAGTGAAGCACCACAATGAAAACACGATGAAGTGAAAAAAATCAACATGACCCTCATTCCCTTTCCCCACTTGGTTTTCAAAATGTTAACAACCAGCCTTATTCTGGAATAAGGAACAGGCCTACTTATATGGACACTGATGGTCCCACAACTAATTGGCTGACATTTCCCATACAAAATTAGAGTAAAGCTCTCAAATCACTTTACAAATACCAGTGGATCACACAAACGTTAAGAACCAAACCCACATTCAAGGAAAGCCAACGGGAAAGACAGAAAAAGCTCAGAGGAAAGAGAGACATTGTCCAAGTAACTATTAATTGGTATCCTAAAGGAAATAAGATACTGCATCTGAAACAAGAAGTTTTCAAAAGAAGAAAGACCTCTTAAAAAATTTTTAAATAGCACAGGTTGCAACTATGAACAGAAAAACTGGATGCACATATAAAGGCAATATCATGGAATGATAACTAAAGATAGGAGAATATAAATTAGGAGACAAGGGTAAAGATGTAAGATCAGTCCCCATGGTCCAAACATCACAGGAGTTTCCAAAGCTGAGGACACTGAATGAAGGGATTGAATTAGAGGAATACAAGAGGGCCCACTGAGTGTCCCCACACAATGAATGAAAAAACATATCTAAACCAAGCACAGCATCTTGGAACTGCAAACATCTGATAAAAAGATCAGAAAGGCTTCAGGGGTAGGGGTACAAAAAATCTGGTCTCAAACAGAAGAGAACCGTGAATGAGCTCAGACTTCCCAGTGGCAACACTGGCAGGTGGAAAACAAAGTCTTTACATTTCTCAGTGAAGATGACTGGCAGCCTTGAACCACAACCAGGAAAACTATCCAACCAGTGTGAAGGTAAAATAAAAATATTTTCAGATATGTAAAGCTTTTCAGGTTTCAGACTATTAAAATGAGAGCAAAAATCAGGGCACCTGGCTGGCTCAGTTGGGTAAGCATCCGCCTTCAGCTCAGGTCATGATTTCAATGGTTCATGAGTTCGAGTCCCATGTTGGGCTCTGTGCTCACAGCTCAGAGCCTAGAGCCTGGAGCCTGCTTTGGATTCTGTGTCTTCCTCTCACGCTCTGTCTGTCTCTCTCTCTCAAAAATAAACACTAAAAAATTTTTTTGAATGAGACCAAAACCAAGGAAGAATACCACACAGGACTCAGGACCAAGGCAGTCTAGTAAGGAAGAGGCCAGGAGATTCCCAGAATCTGGTGCAAGGAAATCTCAGGATGAGGAATGAGGATCCAGGCCAGAACATACAGATGTAAGGAGAGAAAACGCTCTCCTGTACGTTCAGGAGAGAACATACGGATGTGAGGAGAGGTGAGGTGGCTCAAAACAAAGGAACTGAAACTTGACGGGTTTACTCTGGTTTACTCTACTAAGAATTTTACAGAGTACAGGAATGAATCAGTGGCGCACAGAAAGCTACATCAAAGAAACACGTTATTAAGTGCAGGGAAAACCAACATCACCCAAGAAAGGTAGTCACGATACACTTCACAATCCAGCTGTAAGCCATAGTTAGAAATGTAAACACTGAATCTGAATTCAGCAAAAATGATGGTGCCCGAATACTAAGAAAACGAGGGGGAACTGCCTGTGCTGCTGGGAAGGAAGCTGAGCCACTCTCCCATGCACAAGTCAGTGGACACCATCGTACAACTGGGAAATTCGAAACAAACACTGCAGCATAGAAAGGTCTTTTTCAGAACTGTGGGTCTAACGGGTGAGTACCGCACCAAATAGCTACAGCAGAGGAGGCTACAGCAAAGGAGGATGCAGGGTTTAAGAGAGACAGAGAGAATGACATTTTTTTTAATGTTTATTTTGAGAGAGATAAAGAAAGAGAGCAGGGCAGGGGCAGAGAGAGAGGGAGAGAGAAATCCCAAGCAGGGTCTGCACCATCAGCCCAGAGCCTGATGTGGGGCTCGAACCCACAAGCTGCAAGATCATGACCTGGGGCGAAACCAAGAGTAGGATGCCAGGTGCTTAACCCACTGAGCCACCCACTTAACCCATTGTGTGCCTCTGGCACATAGGCGACATAGTTTTTTTTTTTACTTTTTTGTTACTTGGGTTTTTTTAAAAACCTAAAAATGAATATATAAAAGTTTTAAAAATTAAAAGAAAGACAGGGGCGCCTGGGTGGCTCAGTCGGTTAAATGTCCGACTTCAGCTCAGGTCATGATCTCACGGTTCGTGGGTTTGAGCCCCGCATAGGGCTCTGTGCTGACAGCTCAGAGCCTGGAGCCTGCTTCGGATTCTGTCTCCCCGCTTTCTGCCCCTCCGCGGCTTGCACTGTGTCTCTCGCTGTCTCTCAAAAATAAATAAATATTAAATTTTTTTTTTTTTACTTAAAAGAAAGGCAATGTGATTGCTTTCAAACCTTTCACTCACCCTGGCAGTAATTGTCCCATGCTTTTCTCCCTTGTTGTTTATCATGCGAATACCAGCAGACTGAAACATCTCCTTCATTTGAGCAGGGGTAGCAGTGGTAGCAAAATCCACATCTTGAGGCTTTACTCCATTTAATAAATCCCTCACTGCTCCTCCTGCTATTCTTAACTCATGATTTTCTTTGACAAATAATTCTGAGGAGAAAGAATGGTTTTTACTTCAGTGTGTTTAATTACAAAAGTATAAAGCTTTTCCAATCTATTAGGAACAGCAGAGATTATTTAACTGAACCTTTTCAGATAAGAATTAGGAGAACATGGCCCACAGAAATGAAGTGACTTACCTATAATAGAATGCCTGTCACAGTTGTGAGAGCAGGGAACTTGCAGAAATTTTTTTGGCTGATTTGGAAAATAATTCAGAATTCCACAATACCCCAACGTCACTGATATAAATTTGAATTAGAACCAAAAAGTAAAGTGAAAAACTCTGCTTTTTCTCCAGGTTTATGTACATACTTCAGAATTGTGAGGTGTTCTTACACATATTTCTCTTTGTGTACTGACGGTGAAACTGTATATTCATGCATGAAACTATGGAACTGTGAAACATTAGTCTACCACACTGGGTATGATAATGTTACAGCGAAGAATCTGCCAAGAGAAAAAGTGCACTTTATTTCTGCTCCTATGTGTTCTAGAAAAGCCATGTAACACTGAAAACTACTATAAGGACCTCAGTCCAGGAGACCTAGAGCGGACAAAACAAAGTCTACTATAATTACATACATGACTAAAGGACATCATCTAGTACCTAGTAAGGATGACATCCATAAAATGGCCGGATTCAACCCCCTAAGCCTTGGTATTGACACGAGCTAGCCTGGCACCCACAACTGGGCCTCGGCGCTCTCCTGTTGAACATAAACAATCTCAGAGGACATTCACGTCAGAGAAGTCCACTCAGTGATCATGATGAAGCAGTTAACACAAGACAACTAGTAATCATGTCTGAACGGAGAAGAGACACAAACACTATCAAAAACACCACCTTATGACAATTAATACATGTGACTGCTCCTTATTTACATCAGTTAACAGAGCATAGTGCTGGGTTCTCACCTTCTAGTTAAGAGTCAAGATACCCATCACAGATTTATACTTGCTGGCTGATACCATCTAACCCACAGCAAAGCCTCACTTCTTAGCACACGCCCTAAAACAGGATACAAACACAAATCCCACAAGAAATCCTTTCTAAAAACCTTTTGCTGAGATACTCCAAGGTTCTCCTTGGTCAGTGTTCTCCCTCACTGCAAGGAGTAACAACTCACCTGGCACGCTCCTTGTGGTCTCTGGCTGATGGGCACTATCACTGTATTCAGCACCGAGTTAAATGTGTCAGAGTTCTGGAGTCCCTAATCACAACCTGCCATGTTAACCTCCATCCCTACCCCTAATCTGTTTTTGCTCCTCCTCTACCGATCCTTCCTAAACCTTCCACCCCGCTCTCTGCACACCGTATCTAAAATGATCTGCTACCAAGTAACAAATGCTCCCTCACTCCCTCTGCCGCCAGGCCTTAACTTAAAAGCTCTTCCGGGGGCGCCTGGGTGGCTCAGTTGGCTAAGCGTCCGACTTCGGCTCAGGTCACAATCTCACGGTTCATGGGTTTGAGCCCCACGTGGGGCTCTGCGCTGACAGCCAGCTCAGAGCCTGGAGCCTGCTTCCAATTCTGTGTCTCCCTCTCTCTCTGACCCTCTCCTGCTCACACTGCCACTCTGTCTCTCTCAGAAATAAATAAAACATTAAAAAAAAAGCTCTTCCAGAGCTAAGTCCTTCCCAAGAGTATATGCTCATCTTCTTTCACTCCACATTTCCTGTCAAGTCCCACTATCTGTCTTAATAAGGGCTCCTTAATAAGGGGTTCATGGGTCCCTTAAAATAAAATATAAAAACCACATATGTCAGTCCAGTTTTCATGAGATTTATAGAGGTCCATGACCCAAAATGTTAAGGAGTGCCAATCTATTTCTGGACACTACCCTCATTTCTCCCTAGTTCAGAGTCTCTTTATCTCCTTCCTGAATAAGAGGACTACACCAGCCTTCTTAAATCCAGCTTCCACAGTCTACACATAGGGCTCTAAATCACTAACTTGATTAAGCTACGCCACTGTTCCTCTGACAAGCCCCAGCACACGACCGACATTTCATCAGTACATTACACAAGGGCCTCCTGACCCATTTCTGTGTCTTCTCACTAATCTCTGCATCACACTTTACATTCACCAAACTCTCCGGGTAGTTTCCCTCTAAATTTGCTCCTACGGATCACTTCACCCAAACATCTAGCTGAGCAGCTGCCCATGAAATGCCTTGGTGCACAACCCACACCAACAAAGGCATTTTGCATGGCAGTCATTCATATTTAAAACCAAGTTTCACAAAATACATACCATACAATCTCAGCTATTCTATCCTCTTCATGACCACTAAACTGACTTTATGATTCACTAATGGGTACCACCCGAGGTGGAAAAAAAATACTGATCTAGCTAATTATGTGTACTAATTATACTAAAATTACCTGTTTACTCTCAGAGTAGAAAACCTGTATTACTCATCTTTATACCAACCTGGTTCACAAAAGAACTTAACTGTGATATCCTAGGTTCAAAAGAGTGAGCAAGTGTTCCTACTGTCCCAAATGTTACTCTGATGGCTTTATGACATCACATACCTAAGCAGTTAAAAGCTAACTGCTGAGTACACATGCCTAGCACTGCTTATGGACCACAGCCAAGTGGCCAAAGAAGCTCTGGCTTGTCCACTAACCATGTAACTTAGGCAAAACTCACTATGTTTCGAACTTTAGTCTCATGTACAGAATGGGGAAAAAAACTTTTGTTTCTAACATGTCTCTACAGTGCTGTCCTCAAGCAAAAGGAAAAATTACATGACATAAACTGACAAATTATAAAACCCTATATAGTGTACAGATAATCCACTATCCTAGTTCCCAAATCCTTACATACTGGAAACTAATTTCACATGTGGCAAAGCAGCTATTAAGATCTGAGAACTGGTATAGAATTTGACTGCACAGAATCACCACACAATAGTCATCATTACTGTGTGTGTTTTTTAGTGTTTTCATGCAGAATATCATATTTAACCAGGACACCCAGGTCTTCAGAAAGTAGCAAAAAACAAAACCAATGATTTGATTTTCTAACTGATGAGCTTTGTACTAAAACATTCCATTCTTGCTACATCCACTATATCCTAAAAATGCCAACTCTAGAAAATGTCTATACTCCCATTTGCCAGTCTCTCAGGGACAAGACCCTGTGGATAAAACTACCTGTATCTTCCCACCCTATTTAGTTTCTAAATCCTTAGGACTTAGGACTTCTAAATCTAAATCTAAATCCTTAGGACTTCACCTCTCAAAGTGGAGACAATTCAACTCTTGAGGTAAGGGTTAGTAAGCCAAGTGAAATTGTTAAAAGATGTTCAAGAACCTATAGCAATCAATATCCAGAGCAGAAGGACCTGAAACAGGCCAACAACAGTTAATTACCTACATCCAAGCTTTGGGCACCTTTCTTCCAAGAGGCCTCTTGCAACTGAAGATGGGAAGATTAGGAGCTGAGAAAGGCATATAAAGAAAGAACAAGCTTGAATTCAACTCAGATTTGGAGCTTCTAAACTTGTTCAAACAGGAGGCACATATGGTAACTGAACTGAGCACTTGAAATGTGGTGAGTCTGAATTAAGATGGTCAGTATGTGCGAACCACCAGATTTCAAAGATGTGTTACAGGAAGGATGTGAAATGCCTCCTTAATAATTTTTACACAAATTTTATATTAAAATTATGGTATCTTAAATACAGATGATAAAATGAAATGACGAAAATAATTTTATTTTATTAATTTATTTACTAATTATGTAATCTATTAGTTAATTTCACCCATTTCTCTTTACCTTCAATACGGTTACTAGAAAACTTTACATCGCACGTGTGACTGATACTTCTATTGCACTGGGAGTTTCTAGCATTTTTCACTTTAATTAAGACTCACAATGAAGTATCAGCTTTAGGCCCTCCACTTCAAGACCACATGAAGAATCTATATGAATCAACAAGTTCTGGATCACTGACCTCTGACATGTATCTAAAAAATCATCTAATGTCAAGAATAGGAAAGTATCTTTGGGAATAAACTAATACAAGGAATGAATATAATGTCATGGTTCCTTGCCTTTTGTGCATCAGAATTAAGAGAGTGGAGCTCTTATAAAAATTTATAGATGCCCATCCTCTCCAGAGATTCCAGTTCATTGGGTCAGGGTGGGACCAAAGAGTCTGTAGATCTCAATAGCTTCCCAGGTGAATCTAATGGACAGCTAGGGTTGTAAATCACTGTATCAGTCATGTTTCTACACACATACACCTTAATGGATTTCTTAAGGGCCACTAAAATACCACAGGCTTTGAAAAGCAGCAGTATGGCCGCTTCAGCAACAGCAGTGCTGATATGCAGGGACCAAGGTAAGGAATGAGAAAACTGTGACAAGCAATGGAAGCTGCTGTAATCGAGCACTTAGCTATGGTCATTTTCTGTGCTCCTTCCCGGTGAGCTGCATGTGCACAGAGGGGATTCCTATTTCCTTCTGCCTTCAGTTCTCTCCAAAAGCACTTACACCTAGGAAGGAAATGCAGCTTGGTGGTTACAAACTGGGTTCTGAAAAGAGACTGCACAAGTTCAAAAGTCAGCTCCCCGGCTATTATAAAAACGTGGGCACATTCCTAAGCCTCTGTTTCCTCATCCACAAAAAATATATCTACTCATTAAGTTAGTAAGCCAAATTCTAGAATGTATGTATTTAGTATAATATACAGAAAAGCCATGCTTTGTAACTGAAGTCACTGCTGGACTCTTAACACTTTGGCTACAGTTTTGGATTCCCCATCGTAAACCTTTCTTGCATCAGGTCAACAGCAAAACAACAACAACAACAAAAACAACAACAACAACAAAAACCCAACCCGTGAGTATTGGCTATAAAACATTAACCTTGTGCTTCTCTAATTACATGGGCTTCCAAAGCAAGAAAGCATCCTGATCTCTCACCTGTCAGACTCTTCAATCCTGCCGTGAATAGTGACTGGAATTCTGGAGACTGCAACTTCATTGTAAACAGATAGTGCTTGAAAAGGCACAGCCTACTCCTACAGCTCAGTAGTGGCCTGTGCCAGGGACTCAGGCACCTCAGCATCTGGGGACAAAGTCACCAACCATACATCTAGGAGACAAACACGCATGCACGGTAATGAAATGTACAAGTCAAGGAAAACAAAGGGATCTGTTGGAATTTTATTTAACAACTGAGAGACTCTCATCTCCTGTTCAGATGGAAAAACTGAAAAAAGTGACGATGTGAGGGACAGTCACCTATAAGTAGATCTATGCTTGCAGCCATCCACTTTTGTATTCCTGAAGCACTTACTGTCTGCTGTCGTCATCACCTACTACTGCTACAATACCCTCTGGAGAGGTGGGTTTCGGTTAAAGCTTGAGGGGATCAGTCTAGGGACAGTGGCTGCAGAAAATGCAAACACTTGCGGGAACACTTGGCCTCCTCCAAAACATGGGACAGTCACTTAATGTTTATCACTGTACTTTCCCACCTGGCCCTCAGATTTATGACCCAGGGATATTTCCTAGGCATTGAAAAACATGTTTTCCCAAGACTTGTCTTTGCCGCCCACTTTTTCCGCATTTACCATTTCTTCCCATTATGCCAGCTCCTGGGTCCCACCCACACCCTGTTTTCCATGTAAAGTGGGCCTCTTTGAGGGACCAAGGGGACTCCAAGTGACCCCGAAGAAGAGCACTGGAGAACCATTCCTTTCCTTGGGAAGCAGGTTTCAAAAAGCCAGGAGGTGAGGCGAGTCCCCCTCACCCAGACCACGTTGGGGAGAAAACCGGTCCAACTCCGCCTCCAATCAGAAAAAGCCGCTGAGGGCCCTGACCCTGAAGTGGCATGTCCCGTCCCCCACAGCGGGTGCCGGACCGAAAGCTTAGTGAGACCCTCCCGGGCCCGGCCGCAAGGAAAGGAAAGTTCCCGGGGAAGCCCGATGAATAAGCCTGCAGTCACTGGAACGTGGCAGGGACGCGCCCGCACGACCTCCATCCACGTTGGGCTCTCTTCCACGGTGAAGTGACGCCCTCTCCCCACCTCACGGTCGCCCCAGGTGACCCCGCAGGGGGGACAGCCAGCCGCGGCAGTCGCCCAGCTTCCCTCCGCGCAGCGGCAGACCGCACGTCTCCCGCACGCACCCCGCCGGTCCGCTTACCAGCCTCGCCGCAGCCGTCAACGCAGCTCCGCGCACTTCCGGACGGCGTGCGCCGTGACGTCACCGCCGCGCGCCTGTCGGCGGTGAATGGGGCATCGCAGCCGGGCGACGGCGGGCCTCAGCTTGCGCTTTCTGCCGCTCCCGCCTCTCTATGGCGCCGCGAGTGGAAGAGCGCAGCTTTCCCGCGCCTCGGAACGCAGCGCCCACCCGGGACGAGCTGTGGGGCTCTTGAGGGACGAGGGTCTGTTATTTATTTTAATTACATCTCCCCACACCTTTCTCTTTCTCGGAGGTGGTCAGACGTCCATCTGCATTGCATATCTGTGTGTCCTTGGACAAGTGTCACTGACTGTCAGTAAAACCTATTTTAGGGGTTGCCAGGCTTAAACGTCCTATTACTTCCCAGCAAGGAAGAAATACTCACTTAGTGTTCCTATTCTTGGCGGAGACGCTTCATCAGGACCTGAGCAGAAGGTTAGAGACACACTCATTCTGAATGTAAGCCCTCTGGTCAATTTAAATGACCGGGCGTGTTTTAATTTCCCGCCTAGATTTTGTGAAGTCGGAAAGCTGTTGCAGGTGCAAAGTGAAGAACTTGGATTTGAGTTCTTTTTTTCCAAGGCCGAGAAGAGTAAATAAAACGGCAAAGGAGTGGGAGTAAAGTCCCAAATCCTTAAAAAGCTGCATTTCCAAGAAACTTCCCAATTGTCTTTAAAAATGAAAATGAAACATTTGATGCAGATTTTATTTAAGTATAGTCTTTCTAATACCACTTTAAATTATTTAATTTCCCTAAAAAATTCATGTGCTCTGGTATTTCTGTGGTTTCCAATGATCAGACCTCTTATCTTCAGGGCTGTTAAGTATCCCATTTTGAGAAGCACAGAACCAGTTTTCCAAGTTGCCATTCAGAAGCAAAGCATTGATTTATACTCCTTAACATGGCAATAAATATGTATATTCGCGGGGCGCCTGGGTGGCTTAGTCGGTTGAGCGTCCAACTTTCACTCAGGTCATGATCTCGCGGTTTGTGGGTTCGAGCCCCGCGTCGGGCTCTGCGCTGACTGCCAGCTCAGAGCCTGGAGCCTGTTTCAGTCTGTGACTCCCTCTCTCTCTGACCCTCCCCTGCTCAAACTGTCTCTCTCTCTCTCCTAGAAATAAATAAAAAATCAAAAAAAAATGTATATTCGCATATCCTAACTAGGCTAAAGAAGAAAAAAATACAGAGAATTCAGTGTAAAAGAGCATATCACTACAGAAATGTAGACATTAACAGGAGAATAGAAGACATTATGGACGATTTTATGCCAACAAATATGTGGATGAAATGGACAAATTCTTTTAGACATGCATCAAAACGGAAACAGGAAGAAATTTAAAATCTAAACAATCCTTTTACTATGAAAGAAACTGAAGTTTGTTCGACAAACTTACCACAAAGCTAATTCCAGGCCCTGATGGTTTTAGTGGTCAAATTTATCAACCACTGAAGGAAGAAATAGAAGAAATAACACCAATGCACAATTTTTGTTCAGAAAATAGAGGGGGAAAGAAACACTATTCCTCTTATTTGGGGCCAGCATGACACTGATAACAAACCTGAAGTAGATATTACCAAAAAAGAATTTATACATCAATAGCCACATGAGCCTAGAAACATATATATTTAATGAAATATTAGAAAACCGAATCAAGCAAATTGGAATTTGATCACATTTGGTTGATGCCCGGAATCCAAGGTGGATTTAACAATTGAAACCTAATCACTGTGTTTACCATATTAGAAAACTAAAAAAGAAAATTATATGATCATCCCAATAGATGCAGAAAAAGCACTTAAATCCCACAGTTATTAATGATGATTATTCTCAGAAAATTGAGATTAGAAGACTTCCTTGATCTGTTAAAGGACATCTGTGAAAAATGTACAGCTACTATCATACTTAATGTTTGTTTAGTTTTGAGAGAGTGCAAGCAGGATGGGGTCAGAGAGAGAGGGAAAAAGAGGATCCAAAGCAGGCTCTGTGCTGACAGCAACCAGATATGGGGCTCGAACTCAGAACTGTGAGATCATGACCGGAGCCCAAGTCAGACACTCAGTCGACTCAGCCACCCAAGTGCCCGGCTACTATCATACTTAATGGTAAAATTTGACTACTTTTCCCTCGATATCAGGAAAAAGATGCCCAGTTAATGACTTCTGTTCAACATTTTACCATAGTTCATAACCATTAACATAAGTCATGAAAAAGAAGTAAAAGGTATAATGATTGTTACATTCCTGATTATTCTTTCCTGGTTAGGAAAGAAGCAGCACTGTTTTTCAGATGACATAATGGTTTACATAGGAATCAACATAACTTTTAGAATTAATGAATTTAGTAAGGTTTTAGGATTCTCGTTTAATAATTTAAGACCACATGTATTTTATTAAGTAGCAGCAAATAGTTATAAACAAATTCTAATTTTAATAGTAGCTAAAATTATACAGATATAGATTAAAATGTAGGAATAAATGTAACAGAAGAAGCTATATGTTTGTCAACCAATCATGTAAAGATAGTCAACATCATCATCTATCAGGGATATGCAAACTGAAACCACAGTGAGATGCCACTGTGTACCTATTAGAATGTTTTAATAAAAAGCCTGGTAGTATCAAGTGCTGGTGATGATGTGAATCAACTAGAACTCATACACCACTAGTGAGAATACAAAGTGCTACAACCACTATAGAAAACAGTTTGGTGGTTTCTGATAAAGTTATACCTACTCAATAGACAACCCAGCAACCCTACTCCTTGATATTTAGCTGAGACCAATGAAAACATATGTTCACATTAAAAAAAAAAAAAATGTGCGTGGATGGTTCTAGTAGCCTTACTGATCATCACCCAGACTTGGAAAAAAGCCGTATTTCTTCCAACAGATAAATGGTAAGTAAACTGTGATACATCCATGAAAAGAAATATCACTGAGCTATATAAATGAGATAACTCCTCATATATATGACAATATATGTAAATCTAAAATCAAGAGGGGTGCCTGGGTGGCTCAGTCACGTAAGTGCCCGACTTGGGCTCAGGTCATGATCTCACGGTTTGTGGGTTTGAACCCTGCGTTGGGCTCTGTGCTGACAGCTAGCTCAGAGTCTGGAGCCTGTTTCAGATTCTGTGTCTCCCTCTCTCTCTGACCCTCCCCTGCTCACACTGTTTGTGTGTCTCTCAGAAATAAATATAAATATTAACAAAATTTAATAAAAGAATAAATAAATAAATCTAAAATCAAGAAAACCAGACTCAGGAGGCTACATAATGATGCTATTCATATGACATCCCGAAAAAGGCAAAACCGGAGAGACAGAGAATAGACCATTTGCTTCAAGGGACTGGAGATGGAAGGAGGGGTTCACAACAAAGTGGTTTGAATGAATTGGTGGGGGGGGAGGGGCAGTGATGGAATGGTTATATATCTTGATAATAGTGGTGACTGCCTGACTGTCTCTGTGAAAACATGGAAACAGTACATGAAAAAAGGGTAAAATTTCCTATATGTAAATTATGCCTCAAAAAACCTGACCAAACTATTTTCTTTCCATATATTAGCCAAAAACTAGAACATGAAAGTTTAAAAAAACATACTATAGCCTCTCAAGAAATACTCAAAGTTCAACTCTTAAAGCATTTACATATGAACATAGAATGAAGAACTTTGAGGTCATTAAACAAAAGCAGAAGAGAACTCTGTAGACGGAATGCCCCCTCAACACCGCACTCCAGGACAATGGTGAGGACAACCAAGGCAATCCAAACATCCTCTCCCCTGCATATAAGATGTTTACTATTATCTCTTAATACAGATCCATCCTAAGGGAAATACAACTTCACCGGCACAGCAACTGAAGGAACTGATGTTTACTACACAAAAATCCCACAGGAAGTATTCTTCATGTATATTACCTACCCAAAAGTGAATATGGCAAGTGGGATTAAGCCCCACGCTGGGCTCCTCGCTAAGCCTGCTTGGGATCCTCTCTCCCTCTCTGTCCCTCCCCTGCTCATGCATGCACATATTCTCTCTCTCAAAATAAATAAATAAACGTTTTAAAAAGGTAATAGATTATTAAAAAGTAAAGAAAATTAGATAAAAGCACTTTAGACTTACTGTGTATACTATGTAGTCTGTATATACTTTTAGACTTAAGCTTCTCCCCACTCATGAGTTTGAGCCCCATGTCAGGCTCTGCTTTGGATTCTGTGTCTCCCTCTCTCTCTGCCCCTCCCCTGTTCACACTCCGTTTCTGTCTCTGTCTCTGCCTCTGTCTCAAAAATAAGTAAACATTAAGTTAAAAAAACTGAATTATCTCTGTAAATCATAGAGAGAAATAACAGAGTATATGAAACACCTGTGAATGTCACACTGCATTCATTCATTCAATGTTTATTTAGGGTCTACTATGTGCCAATGGCATGTGTGAATGCTCGTAGTGATGATGACACTACCTAGTAATTTATACTATGCTTAGAACAGTAGCAGGCATTGTATTAGCTTACTAATCCTCAGGAACATCTAGTGAGGAATAGAGGCACGGAGAAGTTACTGTAAGGTCACACAGGCAGTGAGGAGTACAAGTAGAATTCAACTCAGACATTCTGACTCAGAATCACTGGTGTTG